TATATATATATATATAATTTTATAAAAATTATATATTACCGGCGGGTTGACGGGTTGGGCGGGTTGAGCTAGGCTCAACCCAATTTCAACCCTCCTAATTGACGGGTTAGCGGTTTGGCGGGTGGACGGTTTGGCGGGTAGACGCGTTGGGTTTAATTGAGTTGTTAGCGGGTTGGGTTGGGCGGGTTTCGCGGGTTGACGGTTTTTTGTTCACCCCTATCTGCAACTTGTTTCCAACACCCTTTGATGTTGCCTCATTGTATTGAACTCCAATTGCATTTCCAATTACCTCCTTTGAGTCAGCCACAACATCAACAAGGGAAGGCCGAGAGCTATGGGATGTTGAAGATCCACAAAAGCCAGTGAAATGAAGACCAATTTTTGAGTTTTTATTGGATTGAGCCTGCTGGTGGGAAGCCACGAAAACATTTGGAGTAGAGCACTGGGCCTGATGCTTGGGCCCTTTTACCGAAACYRGATTCTGATCAGGGATCAAAACATTCTCATCTTCTGAAGGAGCAGACTTTTTAGAAGACATGACTTCATCCCATGAATGCAAATTGTATCCATCAACCTTTTCATCAGAGAAAAATGACGATTCGCAGTCGACTGAACGAGTGTCTGAAATGCCGCCGCACGATTCAACATCATCTTCAAAATCCGAATCAAAACCAGATCGAGAAACATTTGATGGGGGCAATAAAATTATTCGGTTATGRTCTTCGATAACCTTCACWGAACACAWTTTATTACCTACATTCAAWTTYACCTCCGAGTTCACACACGCCAAACTAGTAGCTATCAAGACACCGAAAGAACATACCATATCGTTATCGAAAGAAGGCTTGTCGGATTCGAGAGCCTCCCCGAACATCTCCGCAATATTTCTAAACAAAGTTATTAACTCATCAACGTGAAAACTGACCAAAAAAATTACATAGGAAAGACATAAAATAAAGATTGAAAACTACATAAAAATTTATTAGTATAATTTCAATCATCTTGACAAGAACATTCTAATTACAAGTTTTATTATAAAAAATATATAAACAAGATATTAAAGGTAAGTTTGGTCATTTTATTTGTTCTGTCCTATCTAATTCTAACTTACCAAACGAAAAGATGACGACGTAATTAGGGTCAATAACGATAAGATGACGACGTAATTAGGGTCAATAACGATAAGATGANAAGATGACGACGTAATTAGGGTCAATAACGATAAGATGACGACGTAATTAGGGTCAATAACGATAAGATGATGACGTAATTAGGGTCAATAACGATAAGATGAGGACGGAATTAGGGTCAATAACGATTAGATGACGACGGAATGATTAAGCTGAAAGGAAAGCATAAAATATCCATAACCAGAAGGTCGATGAAAACACCGAACCAAGTGCGACAATTACATGCCGAATGTTCTTTCAGTTACATTAAAGCGTTTTAGGTTAGCGATGCTTTGGCGAAACATAACAAGGACCGGAACATATCGACCATTGTAAGCAGAGCAAGAGTGCTCGGCGAACATCATATTTCTCTATCCTCTTAACCAAGTGTTCCGATATGACGAGTTATCACGCAGGGAAGCATCGTGCGGCTTATACTCCATTACATATCCGTGAGGAAGTTTCAAGTGTCGTTTTATTTTATCTCTCAACGCCATCACTGCCTGCTCAAGAAAAAGAACTAATGCTTCAAATATATGTAAACATGCATATAAATAATATAATATGGAATATAAAATGGCTTTGGTGAACTCACCGGATTATCAGATGCATTGCGGTTCCATACGCTCAATATATCCTCGTTGAAGCGAATGCTCAACACAATGCCGCATATATTATCACCGTAATCAAGTTGATCACCTACCAATGCTAAAACCTGGCATGAATTCGAACAAAAACGTTTTAAGAGTTAACAGATGACTATAAACCAAACCGAATCAGTGAACCCCACACAGAGTAGGGTATGGGAATAGTTGGAGGTAAAAAACCTTACCTCTTACCTTAAGGAGTAAGAAAGGTTGCTTTCGTGAATACCCCCGAATTGTAAACAGATTTTGGGAATAAAATACAGATAAAATATAAAATAAGACTAGGGGCATGTTTGTTAGCAGCTTAATGGAATTCGCAGCTTATTCAGTCCTTTTGATAGTGGCTTAATGATATAGAAGGTGGTTTATTCAGTAAGCTTTTAGGGGGGAGCTTTATGGAGAAAGCCAAGTTTTTAGCTTTTAGGGGAGAGCTTTATGCAAAAAGACAATTTTTTTCCAAACCTGCCCCTTCCAATTAAACAAGATGCTCCTTCCATCTATGAAAAACCCCTCCCAAACAGAAACCTCCCCAATCTATACAGACACATTAATTCACACAAACAACTTTATCCATACCGGACTTAATGGAAAACCAACCAAACTGCCCCTAATTTGGCCCATGAAAGGTTTTGGATGATCAATTCAATGGACTCCGTGTGCAAATCACATCTAGCTGTTATATACTAATTCATCTAGTATATAATGGCGAGGGACCTTGTGGGCCATTCAATTAACAATAAATAGCAGAATCGGCTATAACTTGGAATAACCATTTATCATAGCCAAAATGTCGAACAGTGTGGCTACGACTTAAGAGAAAGTTGTCACATGGTCCATGATATAAATATTGGGTCCTTACTTCAGCAAACCCAAAGAGAGAATGAAATTTGAAAGCACAAGATAAGCTAATAGACAATAATAATAAAAAAAATGGAAGGAGGGAGGGAGTTTGGGCTCTGTCACATCCAATAACCCCTGAATAGAACAGCAGCAATTAGGTGCAGCAATTGTGAGAATGACGAACTAAAAAAAAGTAACATGTGCCAAACATCATATCAGCCATATGCCTGTGTAATATTAGCAAAGAGTCTAACCTCACTCAAAAGGACTAATGCTAATATCTTTGTAGGACAATCGTATCACAGAAAATTCAAAGGGGTCTTATTGGTGTCTTGGATACTTTATCCACTGCAGTATGCAACGAGAATTCATCTAAAATTAGCTGTATCATATAGTAATACAACATGGGAGGAAACACATAGTTGACATGTTGATCATCTACTGTCCATCAAAGGTAGCATATAGTGAACATGGCATCCATCCGAAGTTAAAAAAAAAATGTCCAACGAAAACTACGCTACTACATGGCAATGAACTGGAACATCAAAGAGACGAGATAAAGGATACAGGAAAGTGTAACACAAAGACACACACATAGATTAGCCTTTTCTCCTTACCAAATCCTCCCAGAAACGTCCTGAGACAGGCTTTTTAAACCGTATGATCCACTTGCCACCGTTGCAATTAGCAGAATCCTAAAATAACAATCAGAGAAGCAAAGGATTATTCTTACTTTAAACCCAACTAGCCTAGACAGGATGAATAAAATACAATGACTAATTGATTAAGCAGTAAGAGTTCAAAGATCCATTGTACCTCCCATAATGGACGAATCCCCTGTTTGAACAGATGCAAATCAGTTGGGCTTGGCAAGGATGATGGACGAGCCAAGTGACAATAACACACCCAAAAACCTTCAACCTGTAGTCAGTGCAAGAAATACCAGTCAACTATGATAAAGACCAACTTGCAAGTTGCAATGAAAACCACCGAAGGGTGATTGTCAACCTACAAAAAAGTATACAGATGATTTTTTTACCGTGCTGAAGTCCATTATCTGCTTTATATTGTCTTCATATGATGTCTGAGTCCGAACACCTGGTGTGCGCCGAGTGTACCAAAATACAAACTTGTGCTGTTGGAGTAAGATGATTAGTGTGACCCACAGAAGTGCAACAAACACTCTAAACGATGCCAATATATATAAAAATATCTTAACCTCGAGATACAAATCAATAGTGAGTAGCACATACAATCCAAACTGCAGATGTTTGCATGATTGCCTCTACTATATATCTAAGTAAACTTGTGAAGTACAACCTCCAAGCAACTCTTACTTTCTTTAAAACAGTTAAAACTCTTGCAATGGTGGTGACTGAAAGATGCCCAAGTGAATAACAATGCAAATATGGACAAACAGAAACAAGAGCAATGCAACTTTAAGTGATGGGTCTCACTCAACCTCTCAAAATAGGCTTCATAATTGGCCGCCACATACCCTTGCCTCCACCTCTCCCGCATACACACAAAGACAAGAGCCTGATTAATCATTTGCTTCTAAAATAGACAGGAAGCTGAGTTACTATTATTGACAACAGTACTTAGATAATTGCCATACACAACAGTTGAATGCTAATTATGTGTTGATGAGTTCTTTCTCATCATAACAACAACCAAGCTAGTTAATACACTCAAACTTCCCAACTTGACGACAACAACTAATCTAGGTGCTAAATAACCCCAGCTACTAATCAAATATGCATATCAGGGGTAACAAATCCTGCAAAACTGAACAAATAAATTCTCTTTTTTAATGAAACTACAGCATGACTGAGTACGTACATTTTCAATTCAACTTAAATTCCGAGCAACGAATTCGTGAACTGTTGGTATATCACTTCCATAAAACCTGCTTTAACTTTTACACGTCAAACCTGGGAGTGGAATACAAATTTGATACAGATTTATTTCACTAATCTCCCACCAGCATTTTTTCCTATTTGAAAGATTGGTGCGAATTTCATTCCGGCAATCAAAATAAATAGAATTCAGAACTACTTCCAATTTCAAATAAGCTGATGGATATTCAAATTGCAGTTCGATTCCTGGATCAGAGAGAAGATCCGCAAAAGCACTACTTGAACGGATACTAACGTAAGCATATGGACAGATACCTTGAGAGGATGTAAACCAGCTTTAAGCTCGCGCGATTGCCGGTCGCGATCTTCAGATGAATCGTACTCTGATTGAGAGTTATTGTTGATATTCTTATCGGTTTCCCCTCTCTTCTCCGTCGATGCATCCATCTCTGAAAACTTTTCCGGTACACTTTGGGAAAACCCTAGCTGTCTCGCTCTCTCGCACTAGCCTGTTTTCAGATTGCTTCAACGAAAGAGAAGTGAAAATGAAAACTTCCCGTTTTTGTACGAGCCGGGCGGGTTATACTTATTTGCACCTGTCAAGTTAAACCCTGTATATAAGCTATTTTACACATTTAGTCCTTATACTTCAGAAACTAGCAAACAAGAACCCAACTACGTTGCTTATGTTTTAAGGTTGTTTGACAATTGCTGAATGTTTAGTGCAGAATGATTAAGTGATCAGAATAATTAAAAAACTCTTATAATATAGTGCGAAATAAAATAATTGTTTGATAATTATTCAGAATGAAATTAGGGTGTTGAATGGTTAAGGGGGCCCAAGACATTATGAAGTTTTAGAACCATTAAAAGACAATTTTTTTGCCAAATAAGATTCACCTCTTAGCAATTTAGAGATTGTCTCTTAATGGAACTATTAAGAGATAGACAAACAACGTCTTACTTTTACATAAAAAATGAAAGCATATTTTTTGGGAAACATTTCACTCCCTCCGTTCTCAAAATACCGACACCAAAGAAGAGACCTTTATTGCCCGGAGTCTAAATCGCACTACTCTACTTCAAGAAATGAGAGTTATGATTGTCTACGTTATTATATTAGTTTGTTTCAAAATCAGTGTCAAGTTTCAAAAATAAATGTCTACGTTTCTAGTTTACCCTTATGTGATAGATAAAATTTATCTTTTAGGGATTGTTTGGATCATGGGAATTTGGTGGAATTGAAAGGAATTGGAATGTCTAATCCTTTGACTAAATTCCAAATATGATGTTTGGTTCACAAATTATAAATGAATGAATCCTTTCAATTCCTACAAATTCATTCGGTCACCGATTTCATGATTCCACTTGATGTACCAAGGATTTCAAATTCCTTTCCTACGAATTCCTTAGCCCTCATCCAAATTTCAGATATTAGTAATATAAGTGAACAATTTCAAATTTTATCTGATGTTAATAATGTAATTGGTTTAATGGTAATTTAATTTTTTTTTAAATGACAAAAAAAAATCATAAAGGGTCATTTGTTGATATTTAATTCCGATTCCAAAGTTGAATTCCATTCCAATTCCATGCAACCAAACGCAATCACAACGCATAGTCAAATTTCATCAGATTTCATTCCATTCCCTCAAAGTCAAATTCATTTGATGAATTCCAATTCCATCGAATTCCATTCTATGAACCAAACGCCCCCTTATACTTAAGGGTAAAACTATCATTTTATTGACTAAAAAGTGTAATAATTATAAATACCGAAAACTATTTGTATTTTTCACCGTAAACATTTATTTTGAAACGGAGAGAGTAATATGTAGCCAACTTGGCCTAATTCTTGTTCTAGAAGAATGAGAGGGTAACAATAGATGCTTGATTTCATGCCTTCTAATTGCAAATAAGACGTATAAACAACTCTAAGCTGCTATTGCAGTCTGCATAAATGTGGACGTCTTCCTTTCCATGATCATATAAACGTGGGTAACATGTTTCTCATCTATTCCCGCTCTCTTAGATCATGACCAACTAGTTCTTGTTTTCACGAAAACATCTGCTCTACTTTTTGGGGTAGACGTCAGGTTTACATACATCTTACCGTCTTACACATTCTAAGATCCTACCTCCAAATGGGATATCAGATATAGGTTGTTTGTTTTCCTTTGGTCCCTGCCTTTTTTACCTGACACGGTATCGGGTATTACAGATAGCTACGTAAAACAGTTATACTTTTTCAGTATTTTCGTTTTTTGGGTAATTAAAATGAAACCATTAAGCAACCTTTATGTTGAAGATTGAGGTTTTATAGGCAATCGTGAGAGGGGCATATATATGTTTCTTGTGGGCAAAGCATTTACCCTCTTTTAATTACGAATGTGTCTTAATAGGTTTGATTAAGTCGCAATATTAAATAACAAAGTAAGGATAAGATTCCTGCCTTTGGACACTTGCATGGCCCATCCTTCCCTTTGAATCCTTCTTTGTTGTTATATTTAGTATTTTTATTTAACCACTTTAATATAACATATGCTTTTTATTGGATCTTCTTTTAAAAACCTTATAAATAGTAAGATATTTGAGAACTGGTGTATCATATGTTATGAAATATGAGTTTTTTCATCTATGATTAGAATTTAATGTAGTGACTAATATATATAGGCGAATGATCGTGTGAGAAAGAGAGTTAAGATGAGAAGCGTAAGAAAAAATATGGACTCTTGATTATCTTTAATCTCAAACCCAGTACTCATGAATCGCGTTTGATACAGGGATTGACTCGATGCATCTCATCCTAATGTACATCTAAGGGTGGAGATTCTTTATTACGTTTCTCGTCTTAATTCATATTCTCACACGATCTTTAGTCTAAACCCTTATAATATATATATATATATATATATATATATATAKAKAGAGAGAGAGAGAGAGAGAGAGAGAAGGGTTTAAACGAGAACAACTTCATTTTACGAGAACACAAGAACACTCTTTTACTATAGACAATCACATGTGATACTATTATTCCATCACATATGATACAAATGTGATACTAAAATCAGAGGCGTGGACGATTTTCGATGCGAACTTGATTGCGGGCCAAGTCGCGCTTACACCACTGAGTCATCTCACAAGTATTATCACATGTGACAAGGTTGTTGTTGATATAATACTATAATCTATCAAGACCATCACATGTGATGCTAAATCATATACGCAGACAACCTTTGGTGCGACCTAAGTCGTAGAACACATCGTCCGCACATCACATGGTCCCCTCACGCGTATTATCACATGTGATAAGGGTGTGCTCGGTTTCTCATAAAATGAAGGTGTTCTCGTTTAACCCTCCACACACACACACACACACACACATATATATATATATATACATATATATATGTATGTATATATATATGTATATATATATGTATATATATATATATATGTATATATATATGGGGTTGAAGGAGCATGTGAGGATGAAAGTTAAGGTGAGAAACGTAAGAAGAGATATGGACCATTGATCATATTTACTCTCAAACCCACTCATGAATCACGCTTGATACAAGGATTGGTCAGATGCATCTTAGTGCATCTAATCTTGATGCATCTTATCATAATGTACATCAAAAAATGAAGATTTTTTCTTATGTTTCTCACTTTAATTCTTTTTCTCACAAAAACCCAACATTATATATATATATATATATATATGTGTGTGTGTGTGTGTATGTGTAACATTAATGCAAATATGCAATTTTTTCGTAAGAAGTTATAATATAGTCGTGGGCTAGATTATAGACTATAGACGTAAATTTTGTATTCATCCAAAGTTATATTCTTAGTATTCAGATTTACGTGTCATAAAAATTAAAGAAAATTGATGGTGACAAATAATCGTATTACAAAAATCCCAATAAAATATCAAAGCAACCATTTGGAAATCAATTTGTTTCACATCATGTAGGTCCCATGGACCACTCTAAATTTGTCAAGTTTTTAAGAGGATAATGATGTTCAAATGCCATGTATCATCCACCACATCATCGTCATACATGAATACATACATACATACATATATCTAGGCCCAATATAACCACCTTCAATAATTCAACCAAGATTTCAACTTTTTGTTTAAAACCCTCCTGAATCCAAGAAAAACTCTTACCTTTTGATGCAAAAAAGATGGATCTTGAAGATGAAGGATGGGTTAACATTCATCATGATGGGTTTCTTGAAGTCCATGATGATGGGGATGAGAAAATCTTCTCAAGCAAATATGTCACGAGTCCCGTGAAGCTTTTCGAGCCAAAATACTTTGGTACCCCACAAAAGTCCCGAAATCTCGTCCAAGAGGAACCAAGATTTCAGAAGCAATTGGTTCATTTGCCGACCGAATTGGATCATGAGGTCAAAGAAATGATCAAACTCCCGATCTTGATCAACAACGAGCCTAAAGAAGCAAGACATGAACCAGAGTTGGATCAAGATCCGATCTTTCAAGTTTTCTTCAAGAAAGAAAACCAATTTGTCGAAACGAAAACGGGTTCTCTGAGAATGAATTCTCGAGAACCTGATGTGTCTTGTATTGAAAGAGGTTTGTTTCAATACGAGAAAAGGAGTATTGATGATGATGATTGTTCATCACCATCAAAGATGATCAAGAAAGAAGTGGTTGGTTGGGGATCAAAAAGTAACCAAAGGTTGAACCTTTGGAGGTGGGGTTTGAGTGGGTTTGGTGCTTTTTGTTGTGTTGGCATGGCTGCTGCTACCATTGGCATCATCATATTTGGAAATGGCAGAAGGCAAACTCAAAAGCTTAGGATTCAGTTCTACTCAGACAACAAGGTTTCACCACTTTCTTGGTCATAAATTTTCAATCATAATGCACATATTACATTTGATTTCAGTGTATAATCATATGTGATTATAGAACTACCCGGTTAACAACAAGAGTGCACGAGTGACTTGGCCCGTGACCTAGGCCATGGCAAAGATCGTCCCTAATCACATGTGATTTCAATGTAAAATCACATGTGAATAGGTGTTCTAATGCTTTCTTATTTGAACCATGTTTCTCGTTTGAACCTCCCCTATATATATATAGAGAGAGAGAGAGAGATGTGGGTTATTATACAACCTATTACATTTGTACAACCAATACAATTCAATATCAACCGTCAATTTATATATAGAGTTTATTTCAAATGCAACTCATCGCATTTGTACAACCAATTCAATCTAATAAATTGAAATATTTATGGAAATAATAAGAGTTCATTTATTATGATTTAAATATTTATGGGAGATGAATAAAATTCATTAATTATAATCAATACTTTATATTAGGAAACAATCAAAACTTATATGAAATTACATATTCATCAAATTAAATGGACGGGTGAGATTGATTTGTATTGGTTGTACAAATGTAAGGGGTTGTATAATAACCCACTTCTATATATATATATATATATATATACCATAACAATATCAGTTAAATTAATTTTATTGATCATAATCCTGATCTTTCTTTTCTTTATTTTTATAGTTACTGAATACATGTTTTAAAACATCATTTAAATATACAGTTTATGACATAAATGTATTCAATTTCAAACATTAAATATGGATGTATGGTCAGGGGATGAAGCAAGTGGTGCAGCAAGCAAATGAATCCATGTCTACAGTGAGAGGAGTTCCATTGGTGAAGGCACAAATCACATATGGTGGATACTATGAAAGTCTCTAGACCAAATATTTTCATCTAAAATGTCTGAAATTTTTAAAACCACATAAAATCGTATTATATCGATACAGATGTTATAGTATTAAACTGATAAAGCTTGTATATATTATTTGTGGAGTAAGTTTATAATATAAAGTGAAATAGCTAAATATGAAGAGGTGAAAAATCTATTATCAACCAAAAAGTCGTTTGAACAGTTGTTTTATAAGTTCAAATCACACAAACGATAGTTAGCGGTTGTTTGTTTACCTCTTAATAGTTCCATTAAGAGGTAGCATCTGAATCAATAAGAGGTGAATCTTGTTTGACAAAAAAAAATCTGCCTCTTAATGGTTCTAAAATTCTCTGAATGATTTTGCATCATGGGCCTCCATTAACCATTTGACGTCATAATTTCATTGTAAACAATTATATTGCATTTTGCACTATATAATGAGAGTCTCTTAATCATTCTGACTACTTAATCATTTTGTACCAAACCATTTAACAACTCCTTAAATTTTACTGAAGAAATGTTTGTTAACAAATTGTCCCATTCAAAAAGGGAATTTTAGCACCGTCAAGAAAAGTGTTTCTTTTAAGGTAAAACACTTTGAAAGAAATAAAAATAAGATAAAAAATATTACTGATATTATATGAATTCCAATGTTTTTAGGGGTTGGGTTCACGTCAGACCAGTCTGTTTTCGTGAGACCGCTTTTTTACACTTGAAACTTCACAGCAAAACGTTGTTAAGGTAAAAAAGCCGAACTTTCACAGCAAAAACATTATGAAGGTTACCTTCACCGCGTTTTGCTGTGAAGTTTCATGTGTTAAAAAATGGTTTCACGAGTTTTACGAAAATAGATTGATCTCATGTGATCCAAATCATGTTTTACATCGAGCATATAATTTCTGCTATCATCTTTTCCAAATAAATATGACAGATTTTAGCATAAATTGTACAAAAATATCATTTATTTAAATTCCTGTTTTGCAAAAAGATGTAGAGGTTTATACTTTAAAAAATTCTATTTAAATTCGTGAACAAACCTTAAACTATAAATGCTTGAATGTGAATTAAAACAAAAAAGAGTAATTATAAATTTGATTTCCATGGTTTGTGGAAAATAACATTTTTTTCATCTCTGTAATTTTAAAATTATAAGATGGTCATCGTGGTTTACGAAACGTTCAAATTTCTACCTTAATGTATTGTTTCACGTGATTTTTTCTCATCTAATGCAATCATTTAATGTATTTATGAACATATATTTGTTTTCGCAATGTGTTTACTTCATATGCATTTGGTTCATAATGTGAAACTTTTTTACGTATAACTTTTGTTTCACAACCATGTACAAAAGGTTGACATTATAAAACAAATACATGTGAAACAAACACGTTGCGGAACAAATATATATTAGTAATATTTTTAATCCAAATATTAGATTAAGAAAATCATATGAAATAACATAATACACTAATTTTCAAGGTTATATGAAATCATACATAAACATACATACACACACACATATAGGGTATATTTGAAATGCAACCATGTATATTTGTACAATCACTGCAACCCAATTAATTAAGATATTTATGGAAATGATAAGAGATCATTTATTATAATTTGAATACTTATGTAAGATAACTAGAGTTCATTAATTATGATCAATACTTTATATTAGAAAAAATCAAAACTTGTATGAAATCACATATTCATCAAATTAAATGGACGGTTGAGATTGAGTTGTATTGGTTGTACAAATGTAAAGGGTTGCATAATAACTCACCTCTCTCTCTCTCTCTCTCTCTATATATATATATATATAAATATAAAGAGAGAGAGAGTTTGTTTCAAATGCAACCAATCACATTTGTACAACCAATGCAATCCAATAAATTGAAATATTTATGGAAATGATAAGAGTTCATTTATTATGATTTAAATATTTATGGAAGATGAATAAGATTCATTAATTATGATCAATACTTTATATTAGGAAACAATCAAAACTTTTATGAAATCACAAATTTATCAAATTAAATGGACGGTTAAGATTGGTTGTACAAATGTAAAAATGTTGCATAATAACTCACATCCCGGAGAGAGAGAGAGAGAGAGAGAGAGAGAGAGAGAGAGAGAGAGAGAGGATAGAAAGGTCATTTACAAACCCAACCAATAATACAAACTTAGATAAATCAATTAATTGAGATATTTATAAAAATAATAAAGGTCATGATTTGGAAACTTATGAAAAATTATCAGAGTTTCATCTATTATGATCAAAGTTTTATTTTAAAAATGACCACGAATATATATTGAACGAGATATTTATTAGAATAGATAAACGACTGAAACTGATATATAAAGTTTATATTAATATAATAGCTTGTAAACAAACCCGGCTAAGGAGTCGTTTACCAAACGCTTACCTGGGTAAGTGTTTACCAAGTCACTTTACTTTATCGGATGAATATGGGAATGACTAAAAATCTTACCCAGTAAGAGTGAATGCAAGAATCGAGAGTCTTACCCAGTAAGTGAGGACGAAGACTCCTACCATGGTTAGCGCTTACAGGGATAAATTGTTGCATACGATGTATTTTAGTGAATAAAGTCTTATCCGGTAAGTAAGCGATAATATTAAATTTTACCCGTAAATGCTTATCGGGTAAGTGTTGAGGTAAACGATCCCTAAATCTATATAATTTTGATGTACTCATTTTGGGCTTGAAGCCTAAAAATATGGCAAGTGGGCTTCTAAATGGATAAAGCCCAAATAGAAAAGAGGAAGATGGATCCTTTTTTCAAACCAAAAGCTTGTCGATGATCCTGAGCCGTTGATTCAAAATCCAAGGGCCACCACACATCGGAACTTATCCCACAAGAGACTGCAAGATATATAAATTGCAAAAGAAGCAGAAGAAGGAGATGAAACCCATTTCTTACCCAGAAATCAATTTGCCAGAGGCGACGATTATCCCATAAAATCCATATAATTCCACCTCTAGAATCACCCAATTCATCAAACACTACAAATTCTTCCGTTTCTCTGTTGAATTGCTGCTTGTGGTTTCACAATCGTTTCTGTAAGTTTTTCTTATCCCAACCACGAATCAAATCCGCTTTGTAACAATCAGATCTGTTCTACTTTTTATGTTCTTCGATTTTGTCTATTTGGACTGAATTTTTGTTAATTTTGCAGGTTTATGTTCGTCTAGAGCAACAATTTCTCCACATTTTCTAATAACAATCCATCAGATCTTCGTTTTTGTCGATGAATCTGTAACCTAGAGCTCGTCGTTCTGAGGATTTTGGTTTTCTTCTCATTGTTGGTTGATTTTTTGTAAATTGATGGAGAAAATAGAGAAGAGAGGAGGGTGTAAACAACAAGAGAGTACAACAGATTTGTTTTTGAGGTGGGGAAATAAAAAGAGACTTAGATGTGTGAGAGTGAGAGATCCAGATGATACAGCTGACCCATCCTTTGCCGTTTCCGGCCGCCGTAGAATTCGCCGGAAAATTAACTCTCATTTTGTTGCTTTTAGTTCCGATAATGAACATAGAGAACCTTCTCTCCCACCACAATCGACCCGTCTCACAAGGTAAAAAGAACATCCCTAGTTATCTCCTACAACAAATCTGAACCGCCGGAACTTGTTCATAAAATTCAATATGGATTTGATGTGTATAAAGTCTAGAAACTGGAAATTTTGAGAAAATTCACGGAGATCAGATGCGGATTTGTTGTATAATCACGTTAGAAACACGAAATCATCCCAAATCTGCTGAAATTTTCATATGGATTTGATTTGATGTTTCGGATGAAACTTAAAAAAAATAAAATTCCCCAAAATCAGATGTGGAAATTTGCTAGAAATTAGATGTGGGTTTGCTTCGAGATTACAACAAAACATGAAATTTTCTTTGCTTTTCTGGAGACCTGAATTTTTTATATGATTTTATGGGTTTTTGCTTGTTAAATTGACGAAGTTGTTATGAACGTTTCGGATTACAGAAACTCCGAGGCAGCGACGACTCTCAGGTCGGAAAGCAACCGGAAATCCTCACCAGATAAAGAGGACAAATTGTATCCGACAAGAGGGTATACGGCGGCGGGGGTGGTTGAGAAGCCGAAGATATCATCCGTAGACGGCGGCGGAGGGGTGGAGGAAAGTAGTAGTAAAAGCAAACATGTATGGCCAAAACTGTACATAGCATTAACAAGCAAGGAGAAAGAAGAAGATTTTATGGCAATGAAAGGTTGCAAGCTTCCTCATAGGCCTAAGAAAAGGGCCAAAATGATCCAAAGAACTTTACTTGTAAGTAACCATTTCCTCATCTATAAATCCTCATTCATAGAACACACACTAATCTCACTTTCTGTGTGTGTTCTCTATAAACATAACAAGACATCTCCCAACTGTGAAATTCTCAAGGTACTGCTTTTAATGCAAGATGTACAAGTGATAATTGCATGGTTGTGAGAGAAAAAATTAGCCAATTTTCAAGAAAGATTTTTAGCCAAATTTCAATTTGTACCCATATTTTATTTTTATTTTTACTTTTATAAAACTTTTGGTATTTCCATGGTGCTAGAGTATAGTATAAACAAAAGTTACCAAGAAAATCTTCAAAATAAAATTTATATTTATCTTTTCATTTTTGATGATTGCAATATGAGTTATAATATTCAAATATTCAACTGAGTTTATAAAATAAATTTTCTATTAACGATATCCAACCAGCTATGTCTGTCGACTAATTGCAGACGACCCTTGCTTTGCGGGTAGTTCGAAGTCACCGCATAATGGGATTTTATTCCTACTTGAATTTGAACCTGTAACCTCCAGACACTTTTGACATTTTAAAGTCCATGTTCAAACCAATTAGTTTGTTTTAAAATATTATCCAAATTTGGAGAAATTGCACTCCCCTCTCTCGTTTTCTTCATAAAGTTTTGGAAATTTTGTTAAACAAAAATACCCAAAATCTTATTTTGGCTGCTTTGTGGAAGAAGATTCTACCATGTTTTTAGGGTTTATTTTCTTAAAAGGCAAATTGCATGAAAAAGTAACGTATTTAACTTGATTCTTATTTTGGGTAACGTATTTTTTTAAAACTTTTATTTTGGTATCTAAGATGTAAAGCTTTAAACATTTAAGTATCCGGGTAACTGGTTGGTGTATTAAGCGGTGGTTGGTGTATTAAGCGGTTATCATACTGATGTGGCGAGTGATGTGGTATCCAACTTGGTATTATTTGTTGACCTTGTCAGTGACGTGGATTTTTTAATCTAAAATTAGTCTTTTTTTTTAAGTCTAAAATTAGTTTTTACTGGTTTACCTGGGTACTTAAATGTTTAAAACTTTATATTTTAGACACCAAAATGGAAGTTTTAAAAGTACGTTATCCAAAATAAGAATCAAGTTAAAATACGTTACTTTTTCATGCAATTTGCCCATTCTTAAAAGAGTTTACAACTTTTTATGCAAGATTTACAAGCTATATATCATAATATGTGTGAAAAGGGGTAATAATTGTGGGTATCATCTTAAAAATTATTATTTGACCATATTTCATGTTTTTTTACTAATTTGTCCCTATAAATATATATATATATATATATATTATGTTTGAAAATTTGGTTATTTGTGGAAAAAGATTCTTTGCTTGTAAACGGGTTTTTATATTTCTTTATATTTGTGAGTTTTGTTGGAGCATATGGTGTGTAGTTTGACTAAATTGTCGTAATTGGTGGATGGATCAGTTGGTGAGTCCAGGGGCATGGTTGACCGATATGTGCCAAGAGAGATACGAAGTTAGAGAAAAGAAGAGCACCAAGAAGGTACCTCCATCATCATTCTTCAATGACTTTTGCTTCTTTTCAATATCAATTGGCCTAAGGGCCTGCTTCTTAGCAACGTAACGAGCTTTGTGAGACTCACAACTTATAATGATTGTTTAAGATATAGGGAATGACATATTCCATAAGCTTATAGGGGGGTATAAATACAAAAAGCCAAGTTTTTTCTGAAACCTGTGTAAGGTTTTTGTTTGGGAGGGTTTTTCGATGATGGAATAGCGTGTCTTTTTAATTGGCGGAACATGTTTGGAAAAACTTGGCTTTCTGTATAAAGCTCCCTCGTAAAAGCTTACTAGGTCACTGTTTACATCATTAAGCCAATACCAAACAATCATGTATAATTGACCAAATAAGTTGAGTTACATTAAGCTCGTTAAGTGGCACTCTGACAAGCTCTTTACTTACCTTGATGAGCATGACAAAGACAAAGAATCGATAATATGATAGAATACCGATTCGAAGGGGAAATTATTTTTCTGGGGTGGAAATGATTGAAATTGGTATAAAAATTGTAGGGTGATGTAAATTTAATTAATATTGTGTTGTAAATTTAATGCAGAGACCAACAGGATTGAAGGCCATGGGAAGCATGGACAGTGAATCAGAATGATATAATGCTTTTTGGACAATTTTTTGTACATTTTCAACCTCAATATCCACCTTTTTTTTCTGTCTTAAATATTGTCAAATCTTGGATGTATTTTTTTTTTCCTTCTTTCAAAATCAATGCAATATTTAATTTTCAACAAATCTGTTTATTTTATTTCTCTAAAATAAAAATACAACAAAAAATTATGGAGGTTATGTTTGATAAATTAGCTGATAAGTTAGTTGGTAGCAGTTAATAAGCTAATTGATAAACATATCATATTTAACAAAATTAACTAATAAATTAGCTGATGAACAAATCATGTTTAATAAAACTAACTGATAAACTTATAAGATGATTATGAAGAGTGTCTTAAAAAGTTAATTAATTATAATATTTTAAAATAAAATTAAAACAAATCTTTAATAAGATCATATATTAACTAATTCGAATAATATGCTAAAAA